TGCACGAAGACGACGACCGGCCGCGCGGGGGGGGCGCGGCGGTGGAAGCGGCCGCGGCGGGGGAGCAGGATCGTCGACGAACAACAGTCCGACAGCGAGGCGGCAAGACGTCGAAGGACCACACCCACCATGGAAACGGCGGCGCCAAGCCATTGGGAAGACGACCGTGCAAGCGGCGCGGGGGATGACCGAGCGTCCGTCGACCCCGAGTGGGCGGGGGCAATACGGCTGGTGGGGGTCCTTCTTTTCGCGGCCGCAAGCGAAGGCGCAGGCGGCGGGTCGGTAAGTCCGGGGCGCGGTCCTTACTAATTTACAGCTGGTGGGGATACTTTTTTTGGTCGGCGGCTCCAAGGCAACGGTCAAGGAGCGGAAGCGGCGTCCGGGATGCGGCGCGGTGCGGATTGGCGAACACAGCCGCCAATGTCGGCAATCCAGTTCGCACCTGCAAAGCAAGCGCGCAGTTGCACATGCACAGAACAAAATGAGCTAACTTCACAAGCAAACGCACATAGGCGCAGCAGCGTGAACCGAAGTAAACGAGCTGCAGAGTGCGCGAAGACAGCGGAGTGAGTCGCCGGTTCGGCGCCAGACTCCAGGCCACCTGCCCGCGCCGATCCACTGAACGGTGAAGCCGGGCAGAGCGCGGTGGAAAACACGAGGCAACGCGAGCGCGGAAGGCCGAACCGCTCAGCGCTCAGTCCTCAGGATCTTCCACCCAGCCGGGGGGGGCCAGCGGCAACCAAGGCGCGCCGGGCCCGGCACCTGAAGCGGATAGGCCCGCCGGCGGCCGCGACGGTGCGCGGGGGGAACCACAGGCTGTACAATGGCTGAACCACTCAGAGCCAGGCCCTCCGGAGCATAACTCCCAGTGCCAATGGGGGCCACCGACAGCCCAAGGCGCAACTGCGCCGCCGGGTCTCGCCGCGAAGAGGTCCGACGGCACGCAGCATCGCCGACATTGGGTGAGGGTCGGCACATGGTAGTGGAGACGTCAGCGCTGCCTGCCAGGGAGGGCCCTTCTGACGCGAGGCCATCGCGGCCGCCACGGGCGAGCCCCGAGGGCACGGGCGGGGGGCGCCCGCCGGGCCAGAGGGGGCGGCGAGGGGCGCAACGTCGCTCACCGCGGCCAGCCAGCAGCCGAGCCGGGGGGCGTCGCCAGTCACCTGGCGCGCCCAGGGGTAGCTGCAACTCGCGGAGAGCACCTTCGCTGAGGGGAGGGGGGCGCAGCTGACCGCCGCAAGAAACCATTAACATCGTTAGCTGCTACTCGCCGAGAGCACCTGCGCGGAGAGAGGGGGGTGCAGCTGACCGCCGCAAAGCACCATTGCATCGTGGGGGCGGCAGCACCTCGCCGCCGAGGTCCCAGCTGGAGTGAGCCAGCAGCAGGATGCGCCTCACGGGGGGGGTCCCGAGGTGCCGCAGCCATGCGCACCGGAGCTGAAGCGGCCAAGACTGGGGCCTGAGACAACGGGCTGGGCGGCGTGCAGGGGGGGGCTGCTTCAGTCGACTTCCCCCTGCCGCCGAGAGTGGGTGGCTGTCGCGCCTGGATAGCAAACGCGAAAGGTGCGCGCAGGGGGGTTGCTTCTGCCGCCGCCCCCTTGTCACCGGAGGGAGAGTAGCTGTCGCCGCGGTCCCGGGGCCGGTCAGCCCTGCGGGCTAGTCCCCAGCTGCGATGGGGGGTGAGATGTCCAGCAAAGGGTCCACGTCTCCAGCGTGGGCTGTCTAGCCACGCAGCGCCTTGGGTGAGATGTGGGGAGACCCCCGCCCCAGCGGGAGTTGCCCCGGGGCATTGCGGCCGAGGCCGGGCGCTGCGAGGTGAAACATTCCCCGGCGGGGGGCGGCGGGGGGGAGGTGGAGGGGGGGGGGGGCGCAGGCAACGGGCCAGGAGGGCTGGGGGTGCGCTGATAGGCTGACCGGGCCCTGCTAGCCCTGCGCGCGCGAGTCCCCCCTGCCCCACCATCGGGCGCGCTTGTCTGTGTGTCGATCGCCCCCCCTGGGGGAGTAACGCATACCTTCTCCTTTCCAGTCCGTTTCCGTCCACGGGGCTTTCTGGTGGCCCCAGGAGTTCCACTCCTGCCAGTCCTGCCACCGGCTGGGGATGGCAGGGCCGACGGCACTTGCCCATCGATCATGCACGGCCGCCGCCGTGGCTGACCTGCCCACTGCCGTCCATGGGGCGGGTCCACTGCTGCTGTCGGGCCCGCCTTGAGCGTGCGCTCGGGGTTCGCGGTGCATGAGCTTCATGTGCTTGTCCTTGACTGACGGCCAGTGGACGTTGAGCCCTAGGTCGCTGTCCATCTTGTAGGCGTCATGCCCTGCGTCGCCCCGAGCCTGGAGGAACTCGCTGCACGACTGACTTGTGTTCCGCTTAGGGTCGCGCTTTTCGCTTCCGCCGATCCCCTGCCTCAGGGCGGCCCTCTTCACCCATGTGGCCCAAACTCCATTGAACGCCCCCCAGCGTCTTTTGCAGGCGTATTATATGTTCCTGCACGGGTTCCTTCTTTGCCACGTCTGCATCTGTGACGGGGCACATGTGCATGAGGATGCCTACCATGGGGTCGTTTGGGTTTTCTCGGGGTGGCTGCATGGTCCTTGCGTCCTTCCAGGGCGCCTCGCAGATCTGCGCTCGCGCTGGGTCGCCTCTTGGGGATTTGGTGGCGCGGTCATCCCCGTCCGCGGTGTCTTCCCACAAGGGTCGCTGGCGGCCCTTGTCACCGCTCGCGCGGCTGAGGGTGCGGTCGTCCCTAGCGTCGCTGATGCTCCAGGTTGCGCTGTCTGCTCTTTGTGGGCTGTCTCTCGCGCTCCTGACTTCACGGATGGCGTCCCGATCAACGATCCGATCGTATGGGGACCAGGCGTCGGGCCTGTTGGGTGGGTCCTGGAAGAGGTTGAGGGGGTCAAGGCCCTCCTCTTCTCCCTCATCCGCCACCGGGGTTGGGCTGACCGCCGGGCTCGGGTCCTCGGCTGTGTCTGACTCGTTTTTTTTGTCCCCGTCCCCGCCCCAGTGGATCCCATCCGGTTCGCCTTGGCTTCTGCCTGCCTGGTTGGTTGGGCCCCTCCCCTCTGTCTGCGGGCCACACCCCCCGTCTGCTCCTGTATCGCGGAAGTTCGCTCTGGGAGCACGGACAGAAGTGTCCTCCTGTACAGGTCCGAAGCTGTCTGCTGGGGGGGGGGCAGCGGTTCCGTCTGCTGCTCGGCCAAGTTTCTGCTGGGGGCTCGGCCACCGTTGAGGAGCCTGTGTCTGCCTCGCGTGGGTCCCGGTTGGCCAGGACGGTGATGGTACCGTAGGCCACGGCGGCGTGGTCATTTCCCATGGCCCATGAGGAATGTCAGCAGAGTGCTGATCCGCTGTCGGAGGGGGCACTGGCCTCTCTGCTCGGTCAGGATGGCAGCGTAGCTGTCCCATTTGTCTTCGTACTTCCCGCTGGACTTCGTTAGGTGGTAGACCACTCGGGCCACTGCGGCCCGCTGCCCGTCCCATGGGATGTCGGGGGGGGTGACAGTCGTTCGGGATCGTATCCCCGCAGATCATTCCAAGGAAAGGGAGCAGACGTGCTGTGGGCCACGACCCCTCGTCGGTTTTGTCCCCTGAGATGCCTGCACCGTGCCGCAGCACGAAATCAACCCAACATTTGTAGACGGAGTGGCTCCATTCCAGCAGGTACTTCACCAAGGAGCGAACGGGGCCGTCGGACTCCACCCCAGTGAGCCTGAAGGTGGAGTGGGTTGATAGAACGGGGCACTCTGGCGGGGCAGCGTCGAGGAACAGGGATTTGATGTCGCGCCAGGCCTTGTCTGGTTCGCTGCTTTCTCCTGCGCCGCTGTCGTGCTCCCGGCCGCTGGGGGTTGAGCTCGTCCCGTGTGGCCGATTGCCTTGAATACGTGTCTTTGGCCGCTGCATTGACGCCAGATGGGGAGAGGTAGACACTGATGTCGTAGCTTTCCGCTTGCACTTCTGCTGTTGCTGCGCGCTTGGCAAGTGCGATAGGGGTATACACTAGAGGAGTGTTGGTCCAGGATGCGGTCGAGCGTGCCGGGCGCCACGTTCCAGATGTGGATGAGGCACCGTCTGCAGGCCCATCCTGCGTTCCACTGCTGGTGGGGATACGCGATGCGTCGAGAGTTGCCGCCCGAGGGCGTACCCCCGAATTCCCCTTCCCTTCCGAGCGGCCAGTCTGGTTTGTGAGGGAAGCTCGTGGAATGGGGCGGGGGCGCGACACCGCCTGCGGCCTCCAGCCCTCCCACCCCCCCCTTTCCTCCTCCTCCTCCTTGCCTCCCTCCCTCCTCTCCCTCCCCCTTCCCTCATTCCCTCCTCCTCTCCCTCCCCCTCCCTCTTCCCCCCCCCCCCCCTCCCTCCCTCCTCTCCCTCCCCTCCCCCCTTCCCCCTCCCCCCTCCCCTTTCCCCCTCCCTCTCCCCTTCCTCCCTCCCTCTTCTCCCTCCTTTTCCTTCCTCCCTCCATCCCTCCCTCCCTCCTTCTTCCCCCCCCCCTCCCCTCCCTCCCTCCTCCCCCGTTCCCCCTCCCTCCTTTCCGGGGCTCCCCTCGCCGCGAGCGCCGCGGGCCGGGGCGGCGGAGCGTCGACCACTCCACTCAGGGCGGCGCGGTGGCCATGGACCAAATGCAGCGACGATGGAGATTGCCAGCTCCCCCACTGAGGGAGAGGGGACCCACCACGGGAAGCACTAGCCATGGAGGAGCAGGGAGAGGAGAGGGAGGAAAAGGGAGACAGGGCAAGCGCGCTTCCTGGGCGTCCCCAATGGTTCTGCCAGCCATTGATGCACACACCCACAACGGACGCAACGGAGAAGGAGGAGGGCGAGGAGGAGGAAGAGGAGGAGGAGGAGGAGGAGGAGGAGGAGGAGGAGGAAGGGCGAGGAGGAAGAGGGCGAGGACGAGGAGGAGGCGGAGGAGGAAGGACCCACCCCGTTCTGCCTCCCCTCCCACCCAGAGAGGAGCCCAGGTCGGAGGTGCGGCTGCCGCGGCTGGGCGGCAGCTGGGGGCCTGCGTGGCTGCGGCACCGGACATGGGGTGCTGGATCTTGCAGGCGCAGGTACCCACTCCCTCGCTTGGTCCCTCGTCCCTCCTCCCTCGCTTGGTCCCTTGTCCCTCCCTCGCTTGGTCCCTCGTCCCTCCTCCCTCCCTCGATTGGTCCCTGCAGGCGCAGGCGCAGGCGCCCACTCCCTCCCTCGCTTGGTCCCTCGTCCCTCCTCCCTAGCCCCGGTCAGGCATGCACAGCTGGAGGCCAAGTCAGGAGCTTGTCTCACGATTGCCTGCCCTCAACACAACCGAACTCTGCAAAGTCTGCCCAGGTAAACATCGCGGGGGCAGGCATCCGCAGCTCCTACCTGTTCAGGCTGAGCCATCTTCCCTGCTTGAACAATGCTGGCAAAATTATACATCCTCCTCGTCATTCCACTGCCAAGCGTGTTGGCAGGGCGAGCCGAGCATTTTCCGGACTTCGCCACAGCTTGTGGTAACCTTAAATGAAGTTCGCAGCAGGTTCAAGGATGGAGGGCGGCGAATTGTTTACATCTGCTCTCACCGGTTCGTTCCTCACAATTCGCGATCACACACTTGAATAACAAGACGCATGCCAGGATGTATGGCGATTCGTTTTCAGACCCGCGCTCTCGCCTGAGACGTCTTCACAGAAGACGGCTCGAATCCGTTGCGTGGACGGAGACTTGCTCGACATAAGATCGCGTTATAGCTGGATGCTCCCTCGCGTATATTACACGAGCGTCCTGGTTAAACGGGCGGGAGCTTCTGGTCTAAATGCGCGTTTTCGCCTGGTTGCTAAAGGCATAGTTGCGTTTTCATATCTCAATCTGCGCTGCCGCCTCGGAATCAGGCGTTTTGCCCCCTCAAGCACATTGATGTTTTCGCGCGCTATATGATCAAATCGCAAATTTACCATGGTAAAATTCAGATGTCTTTGCACCCCAACCGTTGCAAACCAACTTCATGTGACTCGGCTACAACACACTGATCCTGCCGTCGTTCGCAAATCCAGTATCTGTGGCAACGCCACAGGAATATCACCGTTGCGGCCAGCCCAGGATCTGAACTGTGGCATGCCCACGGGGGCCCAGCCCCCCCAAACAGAAAATTGTAGGTGTTTCTGCCAAGGCGGACGAGATGGTAGGGCGCGTTGTGGTACCCGTGGTCCTCCTCCAGGTCCTCATCTTCATCCCACGCATTGCTGGTTCTGCTATGGTCCTCCTGTTCCTCCTCCTCCTCCTCATCTTACTCATCTTCCTTCTCATCCCCCTGCTTCCTCTTCCCTCCTAACCTCCCAGAAGGAAATCGAACATCCGACGCTGGCGCAAGAAGCCCAACACTTCCCAAATGCAATCGGGTGGGTGTGCTCTGCTGGCAGAGCCAGTGGCGGCAACACAGTGCAAGCTTGCTTCTCGTCGGAGGTTCGTCATCTGACCTGGTGCGCTCGAGCAGAACGTGCTGGCAATCATGCGGAACCATGCGCAGGCCCCCCTTTTGATTCAAGCGTGGCGACGGAGGGAGGGCCCTAGTGGTCGAAGCTGTGACCCCAGAGAGGGCAGACCCCCCCCGACAACACACGTCGCACGCCCCTGGCGTGTGTCGATCGTAACGCGGCTCCCCTCGCCCGCCCTTCCGCCCCGCGGGCCCTCCCCCGTATGCAAGCGCGGGAGCCCCTCCCGAATCCCTTCCCACTCCTGCCCGACCAGAGCCTGAGCCGCCTGCAGAGCAAACGGCGCTCAATAGTGTGAATCTGCTTCGACCTTCGGATTTGCGCCGGGAAAGAAAACTGGAAGCACACTCAGAACTAATGCTCATTGGTGTGTATACTCCGCTACCTCCCCCCTCTGCTGATTATTTTCGGTGGCTTAAGCGCCTCCTGGAAGAAGGGAAGAAGGAGCGGAAGCTGAGGGAGCAGAGCAAGACGGATGCAAACCGCATGGCCGAGAGCTTCAACTGGCAGATGCGAACGCCGACGACTATAATTCGACGTAGGCAGAAGACATGCCACACTCGCGCGCCAGTTGGTCGCGTGTGTGGGCCGAAGCATAGCGCAAGTGCCGAAACGGTAGTAAACAATAATGGATTGAAGGCGAACGTTGCACGGCAAATAACAAAGAAACAGCTAAACAACGGCCTGACCATGTCGGCAAACGAGCAACGGATCAGGAATCAGTTGCAATCGGTCGCATCGGTAACAAAAAAGAAAAGATGTTCCGAGTTGGACGCCCACTCAACCCGAGCGTTGCCACCCTCACCGACATCTGATCATCGCGAATTCGACTGGCACCACTTCCAAAGCTTGGTTCACTGGACGGTCGGAAGAGTTCAAGCTCGCGCTCCTCGGCTGGAAGGTGTCGGCATGCCCTTTCACTGGTCATACGTAATCTGTCGTTCGTAAGTTTGTTGCCACCCTTCAGGCACGCTCGTAGTGCTAACAACCATCGAACTTATTTTTGGTTCGGTACTCGCACGTGGGCTGCTGCCTTGTGTCTGACGGTGCAAGAAATTAAAGGGTCCTGGTGAGATTCCTGTGGTGCAACCTCTTGAACAAACCTGACGTGGTTGGGGACATTTCGCGCCGCCGCTTATACGGTATCAGCCGCCATGGTTTGCTGCCAGACGCCCGATCTGGTACACTTGGGTGCTTGCCCTGACGTAGAATCTATTCTGGCCAGCGTACAATTAACTTTGAGTTGCCGATAAGGCGCAAGGCATTGTTTCCGAGCATTCAACCCCAAGCCCCCAAGCATACATTAGCACCTCATGGCGCGCTGGTTCAAATAACGTATCAAAGACCGGATTACGCTGGCAATGCCGGTGGGTAAGCCAACACCTTCTGGTGTGCGTGAAGCATCGGGGGCCCCGGCAGAGTGAGTGTTTCCCAACATCGAGCCCTCGTCATTGTTGCACTGCCAAGTCTCGCGTGGTTCGAACGACAACCCGGCACAATAATTAGGTCGGGCATATCCCCCTACAGGCGGATTTTGGACGAAGAATAAAACATATTCAAAGCATATTCCAACATAGTCATAAATAGTCTAAACATGAACAATGTCGTCCTCAGACTATTTTTGAGTATTTTTGAATATTCCCCCCGTAGAGGGACAAGCCCGACTTAGCACCACAATCGACAAACAGGTTGCCAACCCGTCTCCTCACAGAGTGCCTCGAGGAGAGAACAGCGGTGCGTGAAGCTCCAGGTTTTCTGGGGGCTCTCGTCGAGCTCCAAGAGTTCTGGCGCGGGTGTGAGCCCTGTCTGGGCCGCCAAACTCGACGCCTGGGCAGAGGGCCAAGGGCTCGGGGCTCAAAAGACGGGGGTCCATGCAAACGGGGGACAGCCAAAGCGCCCGATCTTGCAGGATCCTGCACGGCCAGGGTTGCATTGACCCGGGTTTGGGTGCAGGATCCTGCAGGATTCTGCAAGGCGTGACTGACCCGGGTCTGCACTGACCCGGGTCAGAAGATCCCCGAAGGGCGCCAGCAGGGGGGAAGCCGGTCGGAAGTAGGGGGGAGCCTTCTGCTCACAACACGACACCTCGTCTCACTCAGACGTGCAGAGCCCTACAAGCAGCACGGCAGCAGCCTCCACGGTGGCAGAGGGAGGAGGAGGAGGAGGAGGAGGAGGAGGAGCAGGAGGAGGAGGAGGAGGAAAGAAGAGGAGGAGAAAGGAGGAGGACCGCATGTGCACGAAAGTTTGTACGCACCACAGGACCGAACGGACGAAGACGTGCAATCTACTCGGCTCGGGTACGACGATCACGAGTGAGAGGCGACGATCAGAGGGACTGGCATAGGGTGGGAGACATCGACCTGAAATCGGCGATGCATCGCCGATTGGTCGACGATAGGCAAAAGATAGCGAATCCCCACGTTCCCCGGCAGGTTGTGGTGGCCATCGGGCCCCAGATCGGCGATGAGTAGCCATGGGGGATCCATGCGTCCCCGCCCCTATGCATATTCCCCCTCCCTGTCGTTGCCCGTGAACGAGGACAGAGGCCGCCGAGATGGGCTCCGAGTAGATGGGGTCGAAGGATCGCGCCGCATCGCCAATGCATCGCCGATACATCGGCGATGCATCGGCGATGCGCTGGCGTTGCATCGGCGATGCACTGGCGACGTGGGCGTGGAGACAATCGGGCGCCGCATCGAGCCGCATCGCCGAATGCGGCGCGAGCCTCCGACCCCATCTGCTCGGACCCCATTTGAGAGGCCCAGAGTTAGGTCGGGCATGTCCTCCTAAAGGCGGATTGTTGAAGAAAAATAACAAATAGTCCAAACATGTTCAAACATAGTCAAAACAGAGAATGGAAAAGGGTCCCCTGACAATTTGTTGAATCTTCTTCTATTTCCCTCCTGTCGAGGGACATGCCCGATTTAAGCCTACAGAGGAGGACGAGAAGGGGGGGCGGAAGAGGGGGGCGTCCAAGAGGGGAGGCGCAAATCATGGCCGGCTGTGCGCGGCCCAGGGGGGGGGGGGCAGTGACGTCATGGAAAGAGGCGCCGTGAGCTCTGGGGAGATATCATGGCCCCCGCCATGATGTCCACACACCCCTAGTCATCGCCCCCCTCTTGGCCGCCCCCGAAGCGAAGGACGAGAACAAGGGGGGGGGGGCGGAAGAGGCCGGGGAGCAGGCGCGGGGGGCAGAGGGCGCAACCGACGACAGGGGGGGGTCCATCGCTGCGCCCCGCCGCCCGCCTGCAGCGCGCCCGCACGGGCGCGCGGGGGGCGCCCCCACGCCCCATGCCCCCCCCCCCCTCCCTCGCAGAAGTCGGGGGCGAAGGAAACACAGCGCGTGCGCTTCTCTGACAAGCGCAGAAAGAACGACTAGCACCAGAACTCCACAGAACTCCGTTCCCAATGGCCCACCCCTCCCCCTGTGCTGCTGGTGGCACTCCGTTCTGGGCACGCTCTGGGGGCGCGCCCAGAACGCGGTGCCACCAGCTCGGGCAGGGGGAGCGGGCAGCCCCCCTGGCTCCTAGCTGGCGGTAGTGGTTCTTCCTCCCCTAAATGATTCTCGACTTGCGCGCGCCACCTGGGAGGTCTTCGTCGGCAGGACAAGGAGAATGGAGCCCCATTGGGGAGCTGCTGCGCCGGAGCAGGCCGCGGATTGAGCCAAATTCGGCGGGATTGGCCCTGATGCAACGGGATCAGGCCTGATTAAGGCGGATGCCGGACCAGGGTAAAGTTAGAACGTGACCTCCCAAGAGTTGCATCCGAAACCACCCTTGCGCAGGGGCCAAGCTGCTCTCCTTTGGCGGCGCGCACGAGGGGTAGGGGGAGGGGGGGGGGCAGGCTTCCGGGAGGGCGGCTGCTTCTCAAAGGGGCGGGCTCTGCATCTGTAGATGAAGCCTGCGCCTCCTCAGAAGCAGGGGTGCTTCTAGGAAGCCTTCCCCCCTCTCCCTGCAGTCGCGCCTAGGCCAGGAAAACATCCTCCAAGAACACGAGACCCTACGTCGGCCAAAACAGACAGAACATCCAAGGGTACCGTCCCCACCGCCCCGAACCGACCTCCACCCTGTGCCTCGGCCCGACTGCACCCCCCCCCACTGCGCGAGGCAGATCTTCTCTGCATCGTTCCAGCTCGGACGGATGGCCCCCGCAAGGGCTCCCCGGCGCGGGGTGCGGGGCCCCCGACGGGGGGACCGGGCGGAGCGCGCCGGCGGCGAGGGGAGCGCCGCTGCGCCCGTCGGGCCTCCGGGCTGCTCGGGGAGGCCGAGGACAGGACGCTGAAGTTCCGCGAGGCGGATCTCCAGGCGGCCCCGGCGGAGGGGGGAGGGATTTGGGGCGGCGGACGGGGCCGGGAGGCGGCGAGGGCGGCCGCTTGCCGTCGTCTGCTGTCGCGCGTCGCTCCCCCCCTCCCTCCCGGCTTCTCCTCGTTCCGCTCCCTCTGGCCGCTGGCCGCCTGCGTGGAGCGCAGGGCGCGCGCTCCGCAGAGAGGGGTAAACGGGGCGGGGTGGGGCACGGGAGGCGAGGGGGGGGAGCGGGGAGGGGGCGGGCGCGGCGGGGAGGCAGGGGCGGGGCGGGGGGGGGGCGAGGGCAGAGAGGGTCGGATGGGGCGGGGCGGGGCAAGGGACGAGGGAGGGGTGAGGCGAGGGAAGGTGTAGAGACTTCTCTAGACCTGGTGCGCATGTGGCCGACTCCAGGAACCCTGGATCACCAAATAGCGACATCTCACCCGTACTTCTGCCGCCTTCCGCAGGCCACGCAGAACGACATACTGGTACTATTTTGTCCTCCTTGGAGGCGTGCGTCCGACCAGATCATATAGTACAAACGTATTGTAGTAGATCGTGTCCCGAGCGTCATGGCCAGAAAGCGCCAGGCGCCAAACATATACTGCAAGATGTCTTGGCGCGCGCGTCGCCCCCGGGGCGCAGGCGCGCACATCACATCAGCATGTCCGGGTGCTGCTGACGTTTTCTGCTTCGGCTCCGGTCCGTTTCGGCTCCATCTCGGCTGCACGCAGGAGTGACCCTAGGCTTAGGTCGGGCATGTACGCCTACAGGCGGATCTTGGGCGAACAATTAAAACTGGCGAAGCATATCGAAGAATAGTTAACAAATAATTGAAACATCGTCCCCATACTGTGTTTTGACCATCTCCTGTAGAGGGACAGGCCCGACTTGACCCTATGCAGGAGCGATCTCTTGTGCGCGGCCTGCCGATCGCTTCGCCCCGAGGCGACAGCAGCGGCCTGCGTGCTGGGGTTGGGCCCTCCGCGCCCCCCGAGCACCGCGCACCGAAGGTCACCCCGGCGAAATGATGGGCGGACCGGAGCTGGTCCCGGGGAATGGGTCGAGACCGTCTCGGCATGTCTGGACGCTCCGTTCATGGTGGCCGAGGTTCTTGGCCTCTGGGGTCGGACACCACCACCACCATAAGTTTGAGGGGGGAGTCCTCCTCATCCTCCTCCTCCTCCTCCTCCTCTTCGTCCTCCTCCTCCTCCTCGCCCTCCTCCTCCTCATTCCCCCTCCAACTTCTGGTGGTGGTGGTGGTGGTGGAAAACAGGCTCATCACGAAAGGTCACTGGTGCGCGTAGCCGACCATCGGACTGTCTTGGCCTCGGCCTGTTTCGGCCTCGGCCCGCTTCGGCCTCGGCCCCTTCGGCCTCGGCCCCCGTCTGGGCTCCGGCTTGAACAGTACCGAGCCGAGCCGAAACTGGCCCGACGCCGAATCTGGGGAAACCGAAAGGGAACCGATACCGCTACTCCCAGGACCTCTCCCGAGGTGCCTTCTGACGAGCACTTCGAGGCGAATTCAGCGGTGGCGACGAGGGCCTCCCAGGAGGCCGAAAAAAGGCGAACACGAGGCAAGGGTAGCGGTATGTGTACCCTGTTTTTTTGTTTGAGAATCGGGCCCTTATCTGGGGGGGGGTCGGTCGGGGGCAAGGTTCTGTCTCGCCCCATGCGCAGCTTCGCCTCGCCTCGCCCACTGCGGCACGGGACCGAGGCTGCAGCCGAGTGCCCAGTGCAGGGGTGCTCCGTGTCACGTCGATCCAGCCCCCCACCACACCTCCGATTCTCAGCCAATGCACAATGCATAGCGTGTATGAGCCCCCCTGTGGCGGTAGAAGAATGCGCTATGTGACATGTGCCTTCGAGGCACGGGTTGAGTTTGGGAGTCCAGGCCTGGATCAGGACTCACCAGTGCAGGGACTAGGAGAGCGAGAGAGAGAGAGAGAGAGCTAGAGAAAGAGAGACAGAGGAGCAATCAGAGAGAGACAGAGACATCGTGTGATCACCTGGAAGAGCTAGGAAATGGCAGGCGGGTGGCAACATCGGACCCTCACGTTCTGGAGAGGCAAATAATTGGGGGGGGGGTCGAGCCGGGCAGGGTGCGGGCTACATTGAAATCAGGGCGTGAAACCGCTGCGCGGGACAGGCTAAACATGGAGACGCGATCGCTGCATGTGCATTGTAAAGGTGGGGCGGGATTCTCCATGTGGTATCATCGCATGGGGTCACTTCGGTGGGTACGGAGTTGACCGCAACGCCGCGCAGGCCCACCCCCCCCACACCCGAGTTCAAAAGATGGCTGACAGTGCGGAATACGTCGCGACCACGGGCCCAGCTGCGGGGAGACGGAAGACTCGAGTACGGGGGACTCGGGTTGTCCTGACGGGACCAGCATGAAAATGACGAGACCTAATCTGAAATTTGACGCGAGCTCCCGCTGCAGACATCCCACGAAAGCTGAACCATCAAATCCAGGACGCGCTCGCCCAAAAGCGTCGGCAAACCCGAGTTCTAGCGTCCTGAAGTCTTACGTCTCCCCGGCAGCTGGGCATGCGGCGCGAGCCAGCAGTCGCAACGGCACGTGCGGAGAGAGCGTCGAGTGCGCGCACTCCCGCGCGCCCTGTGCCCTCGCCTCTCCCTCCGCCGCTGCTCCCGCCGCCTCCCGTCGTCCGCCACCACCGCGCTCTCCCCTCTCGCAGGAAGGGCTCCGAACGGGAGCGGAACGGCACGAACGAATCAGACGAAGCCAGGACGAGGATCACATCGGGTGAGAATAGATCGAGAATCCCTCAGATCCAGCGGCTCTGGAGGATGTATTGAGCGCCACGGCCCTCTCAGAGCGTTCCGGAAACCTCTGAGAGCGCTCCGGAACGCTCTGGCGGCTCTGGCGCGGATTTGTCCTCGTCCCAGCCCCGACCAGACGTAGCCTGCTGTCGAAACGTGGGCGTTTCCCGCTGGCTGGTTGGAGCAGACGTCTGACCCCGGTGTCTGCCCCTCCGTCGAGGAGACTCAGTGGCGCCCTTCGCGGTCATCTCGTGGAAGGAAGGCCTGCGAGTCAGGGGGGGAGTAGCCCAATGCATGGACGTGATGACGTTCGGTGTGGCCTCATCGTGCCCCATGATGTCTCACATACTCGCCAACAACGACTAGTGTCCGCTCTTGCCGGTACCCACATTGGGTCTCCCAGCTGCCCAAACTAAAACAAACACTGCACAGCCAGATGTTTGCTGCTGTCTGTGCGGTCCAAGACAAAAAGGCAAAGCATGTGTGAGTGGTGGTCCAGTCTGGGCTCCCACGCGACAAGCGGACGTGCCCGCTGGGAATTGGGGCTCGCTCCGAATAGGCACATGTCGGACACAGGTTTTTGTTGAGTAAGCTTGCGCGCCCGAATGACATGCGACGTATTTGTGGGGGTCTTCGTTCAGCCTCCTGTGAAAAAGGAATGTGTGTGATGGTCGATCTGAACAGTGGCGGAAGGTGCGGACGTACACGCCGGGGTCTAATTGCCCCTGGCCCCCAGGAGGCATTGACCATCCTAGGCGTCAGCGCGATATGCGGACATGGTAGCTGGGAGCTGAAGTTGGGCTCCAAGGAAAGACAAGAGAAGACAAGACATCGCAATGGAGCTCCGAATCGAAAAACAACGTGGGATCCAAAAAGCTCTGCGCGCTGCTTCGGGAGCTAGACATCGCTCGCAAACGCAGGTGACCTGTCGGGAACCACCCGCGCGGCCCCGTACTGTGCGGCCCCCCCATCTAGGCGCGCAGCCTCGAGGGGGGGGGCCCAGCCTCGCGGACTAGCGATCAATCTCCGCACCCTCAGGCTCCCAGGGAAGAGGAGGAGGGAGAGGAAGAGCAGGATGTGAAGGACAAGGTCCTTCGTCTTTTTGTGAAGGGCCCAGGGACACACAAACAAGCAGACACCGGTCCCAGGATCCCCCATGTACGCCCAGATCTTGTGGACTTTCGCTTTCTCCTCCACCTGCAGTATTTGCAGCATTTTTCTGGGAACCGACGACGCTTTGAATCTGTGTGTGTTGCATTCACTCCTGATGTTGGCCTCACTGCCAGGCCCTGGCGGCCCACGCGCGGCGCGCACAGCCGTTGAGACCCGCCCTGTCGCCGAAGCACGCGCTCGCCAGGCGCGCCATTCAAAGAGAGAGCCGTGGCGAAATTTGGAGCTGCTTCTCCGGGCGTCACATCGAAGCTCCGCCAAGGAAATTTCTGGACCTGCACTGCCCCTTCATGTCTATGTCTCGTCATTTGCTCATGCTGAACGCACAGCCAACGGTCAACGGGCGAACTCTGGATTTTTTGTTCAGGCGAGACCTGGCACCCAGGACGAGGCGAAAACCAGAATCGACCCAGGCGAAACCCGAAACCGCCAAGCGAAACCCAGAATCGCCGGGAGGCGAAACCCAGAACCCCCGGAAAAACCAAACCAAGAACTCTCCACCTTCAGAACTGGAATTCCGAGACTGTGCTCCTCCTCCTCCTCCACCTACTCCTCCACTCCTCCACCTCCTCCTCCTCCTCCTCCTCCTCCTCCTCTTCCTCCTCCTCCTCCTCCTCCTCCTCGTCCTCTCGCTCGTTCTCCTCCTCGTCCGCCTCTTCCCCCTCCATCAGCCTCCTCCCTCACTCGCTCACCCTGGGCGGCCACCAACACGCGCCTGGGCGATCAGGCGCGCGGCAGGACAACTCCCTCCTCCCCCTCCTCCACTGAGCCGCCGATTTCCTTCCTCCTCCCCTTCTTCATCCTCCCCGCCTTCCATTAACTACGCCGACGACAAACTCACCCTGGGGAGTCCTGAGAACCGACATCCTCCTCCTCCTCCTCCTCCTCCTCCTCCTCCTCCTCCACCTCTTCCTCCTCCTGCTCGTCCTCCTCCCCCACCCTAGAACCGGGCATCAATTCTTTCCTTTTGGCGCAGTCGCGCAATGTATTGCATTGCATTGCATTGCACTGCACTGCGTTCCTCTTCCTCCTTCCGCCCCCCTCGTCCCTCTCCTCGTTCGTCATCAACCTCTCCTCTTCGCTCCTCCTCGTCCTCTATCCGATCCTCCCACCACCCCTCTTCCCTCTCCTCCTCCTCCTCCTCTCCTCCTCTCCTCCTCATCCTCATCCCTCCATCTCTCATCCTCATCCTCATCCTCATCCTCATCTCATCCTCATCCTCATCATCCTCATCCTCATCCTCATCCTCATCCTCATCCTCATCCTCATCCTCATCCTCATCCTCATCCTCATCCTCATCCTCATCCTCATCCTCATCCTCATCATCATCATCATCATCATCATCATCATCATCATCATCATCATCATCATCATCATCATCATCATCATCATCATCATCATCATCATCATCATCATCATCATCCCCCTCCTCCCTACATCCTCGCCTGTCCTCTTACGCCCTCTACCCTCCTCACCTGACTCCTTCCTCCTCCCTCTTCCCTCCTCCCTCCTCCTCCTGCCCCCTGCCTCTTCCTTCTTGCTTCATCTGAGAAGCGCCCTGGGCGTTTTTTTTTTACCGTTTCGCACATTGGGCCCCTGACAAGCTTTTTTAGAAAGCTTTAAAGCAACGCGGCGGTTGTTTGGCGTTTTAGCTTCGTTGTTGTGCGTTGTGGTTTGCGTGTTTAGGCCCGTCGCTGTGGATCATCAACTGTTAACGTGTTTTCTTTATGGTCGATGCTTGTTCCTTGTCTTCCCTACTGTCTTCACTCCCAGTGTTCGTTGCTGCCGCCTTTCTCCCTCGCAGAACCCAAGCGCAACAACAACGCTCTGACACAAGTCTAACACCGGCCCGAAACAGGACCAGAGGCCCGATGGCCCCAAGAGGGGCAATCGGCCATCGGGCCTCGAGAACCGACGCCCCAGGAGGGGCTCCGAGGACGGCGAGCAGTCGGACGGAGAGAGCCTGAGGGCTGATGACTGCACGCCAGGAAAAGGAACTGAGGACGCCGTAGACGGCAACGACAAACGCTGCAGCCAAATGATCTCAACACGCTACGTAGCACCCCGCAATTGCGGATAAGAGTGAGGGGGCGGGCGCGGGCGTCGAGCCGGCGGACCGCCGCAGGCGCCGACTTTTTGGCTTGCTCAGTGAACGTAGTTTGGGTCACGGGGGGGTCGCGGGCTCTCAACCTCCACCTGGAAGGGATTCAAAAAACAGCCCGCCGCAGGCGCCGAAAACTTTGATTTGTACACTAAACGCGGCTTGGGTCGCAGGTTCGCCACCTGGAACGAATGCAAAAGAAACCCGCCGCAGGCGCCGAAGATTTGGCTTGTTCAGTGAACGTAGTTTGGGTCGCGGGGTGGTCACAGGCTCTCCACCTGCACCTGGAAGGAATTCAAAAACAGCCCGCTGCAGGCGCCGAAAATTTTGATTTGTACACTGGACGCGATTTGGGTCGCGGGTGGGTCGCAGGTTCCCCACGTGGAACGAATTCCAAAAAAGCCCGCTGCAGGCGCCGAAAATTTTGGGTGGGTCGCGGGGTGGGTCGCGGGTGGGTCGCGGATGGGTCGCGGTGGGTCGCGGGCGCGCTTTGGGTCGCGGATGGGTCACAAATTCTCCACCTGGAACGACTGCAAAAAAAAGCTCGCCGCAGGCGCCGAAAATTTTGGGTGGGTCGCAGGGTGGGTCGCGGGTGGGTCGCGGGTGGGTCGCGGTGGGTCGCGGGTGGGTCGCCGGTGGGTCGCAGGTGGGTCGCGGGGTGGGTCGCGGGTGGGTCGCCGGTGGGTCGCGGGTGGGTCGCCTCGCGGGCGGGTCGCGGGGTGGGTCGCGGGTGGGTCGCGGGGTGGGTCGCAGGGTGGGTCGCGGGGTGGGTCCCAGGGCGGGTCGCGGGGTGGGTCGCAGGTGGGTCGCGGGTGGGTCGCGGGGTGGGTCGCGGGTGGGTCGCGGGGCGGGGCGCGGGTGGGACGACGACAACAACAAACAACAAACAACAAACAACAAACAACAAACAACAAACAAACAAACAAACAAGCAAGCAAGCAAACAAACACAACAACAACAATATAATAATCCGCATTGCGGAATTCCACTTCCGCCACGCACCCAGGGACAGTGAATAACCGTTCGGTTCAACTCCCTCACTCTGACAAAAAAACGTAAAGAAGAAACCGCCAAAGCCTGAATCTTTTCTTTAGCGATAACGGCTTTAATGTTGGGACCGGAAAGCGCTCAAACATGATTTCCAACGCGCCGAGGTGAAAAGGGTGGGCAGAAACGCCCTGTGCGGGTTTAAGAAAAACCGAGTCTCCCTTCTACACGCGCGCGCCTGCTCGCGTGCCCGCCCGCCCCACCCGCCCGCCCTGCCCGCGCGCCCGCCCGCCCGCTCGCGCGCACGCCTCCCCCCCACCCCCCTCCTCGTTCGTCCTCCACTTCTCCGCCTCGCTCCTCCCCGTCCTCCTCGTCCTCGCCCTCCTTCCGCTCCTCCCAGCTCCCCCTCCTCCCTCCCTGCTCCTCCTCCACATTCTCGCTTGCCCTACAACGCCTCCTACCCTCCTCATCCCTTCTCCATCCTCCCACCTCCCCTTTCCTCTTGCCTCCCCTTCATTCTCCTCCCTCCTCCCTCCTGCCTCCTCCCTCCCTCAAGGCATCAACCGAGCGAGCGTTCTGCATTCCAGGAAGCCGTTGCGGCCACTGCTAGTAGGGGTTCGACCTACGTTGCTGACATTGCGTGCGTCCAGCGAGCGTTGTCAAGGTTGCGTGCCAAGATCAGGTGGCGACCAACGACCAACAAGGAAATTTGGAACCTAGTGCGAGTGCTCTCCCACGGGAGAGGGGCATCGACCCCATCAGGGTTTTTGTGTAACCCAAAAAGGGGTCCAGCTGAAAAGGAGTGGTGCAATAGTTTTTGGGCAATTGTATTGCAAATGTATTGCGCCGGAGAACTGTATTGCATTGTATTGCAAGCAATGTACTGGACGCGAAAATCCAGCAATACATTTGCTCCCTGGAATTTTTGCACGCCCCAAACGTATTGCAACTTAACAAATCTATTGCGCCAAATCCATTGCACCACCCCCTTGTCGCTGGACCCCCTTTTGGGCCAATCCGAGGGTTGCGAGCCGCGCCTCGTCGGACGAGGTTGGCCGTGCCTCTCTCCTGGCCCGCGAGCCCTGCACCGCTCCGACGCGTTGCCTGACACACTGGCCGAGCAGCTCTCTCCCGGGAGCCCAAATCCCCTCAGGCCTCTCGGAGGCCCTGCGCGGGCTCGAGGCAGAAGCCGGATGCGTCCGCGGGAGGCTGGCCGCCACTCCGGCCGAGATGCCGACGGGCCGCCCTGGACCAAGGAGGCACAGGCGGCATCGATTTGCCACGTGCCCTGACGGAGACGCTGCACCTGCCCGGGGATCGGAGGACCCATCCGGGCGCCACCGTCGTTGGCACTGTCGTGCGTGCGGCACCGAGCCGACCCGGCGAACCTAAGGCGATGCAATGGACTGGCACGCCAGCCCTCCACGACCCCGGCGACGGGGCCCTGCGCGAGGCGGGGCCTGTGCGAGGGGACCTCGCTACGCACCGGACGCACCCGATGAGGTAGCGTTAGGTCGGGCGTGTCCCCCTACAGGCGGATTCTTCACGAAAAATTTAAAATAGTAAACATTCCACCAAAATGTTCAAACATACTCCAAAAATCGTCCCCGGCCTATTTATTATTTTTGAATCTTCCCCCTGTAGAGGGACAAGCCCGACTTAAAGGTAGCGGGAGGTCTTCGAAGAAACTCGCTTTGGCGGTGGCTTC